AGACGCGTATTTTCTAGGAAATTTCTAAGACATTCAGGCCGGTAAATGTTGTTAATACTGTTTATTATAAAACAGAGCATTTACTTAAAATATTGTGTCTATATAAATAACGTATAACAATAAAATATATTTAAATAATTTTCGGACTTAGAACATTCCGCAGTGTTAGACGTCATTTGTTTACGTTAAAATACGCTTCGAGCAGATATGGACGTTCAGGCCTGTGAATGTTGTTGATACTGTTTATTATAAACAGAGCATTTAATTGTGTATATATAAATAACCTATAACAATAAAATATATTTCTGTCTTCTTGCAAATTGATGTTTAGTCCTTTCTTCTCCTTTTCCTTCAGTACCTTCTGTAGGAGTTATTGTAGATTCTGTTCTGTGTCTACCTTCAACACTATGTCGTCTGCATATCTGTTGTCTTTAAGATTGCGGCCGCCAATAATGAATCCTGGTTGGGCTTCTAATTTTCTCAGAATCGCCTCACTGTGTAAGTTGAATAAGTCCGGTGTGACGATACATCCTTGTCTTACACACCATTCTATTTTTTTGTATATTTACTGAATTCAGGAGGTTTGCTGCCAGTATAGGTTTTTGATTATTCTAATAGCTTTCCCAAATATGTCACGGGTAACTAGCAGTTCCAATAGTTATTCGTGACGTACTTTATTAAATGGCTGATAGCAAAATAGCGGTTCAGTTCTGCAGACGGTGTTGTTCTATTGATGTAAGGAGGGGATACGCAAATTAAATTTGCCCTTACGCGTATTTAAAGAAGAGGAGTTGCTGCAATTATTAAAGATTTATTCTTTCGGGCTAGTTTGTTCAGTAGACGGATATTCACAAATTGTTCCCGAAATAAAATCATACGGAAGGGCGATCGAAAAGACAAGCAGAAAACAGAAAATAAAACAAATATTTGAAGCTATCAGGGGAGCTCATCATATTTTCCAGAATTATATCGATCGCGCGGTGAAAATGCTTCGGTTGTGTTCTTTAAAGACAAAGCGTACGAGAAAGCCTTAGTTTGGTGGGATATTTTTTCTAAGACAAATGAACAAGTACCAATCAAAAAATGTAATTGCTTCGATCTGATAACAACAACCAATCGCCAACATTCATATGAGAATAGCAAAAAAATGGAGATAAAAATAAAAGAAAAGAAATTTCAAAATGGCGCTAAAAATTGGGAATTGAAATGGCATCAAAAGACGAAATAGACGTAGACTGATTATTACTCGAGGCTAGCATGCGAGAGGACAATTAACTGTTTAATTCACTTACCATGCTTCAATATAGTCATTTAATTTGTGTCTCTCGTGAAAAGAACGATAGAAAGAATGGAAAGGAAAAGAAGGAAGGAAAACAAAAGAATGATTGGAAAGTAGGATTAATAAGCAAAGATGAGGAAGAGGAAAGAATGAACAGGGGGGGCAAAAAAAGGAAGAAGGCTAAAAATGAGAAAGGAAAGGAAGGAAAAAAAAAAATGATTGGAAAGGAGGAAGAATAAGCAAAAAAGATGGAAGGGAATGATTGGAAAGGAGGAAGAATGAACAGGGGGAGATGAAAGAATGAACAAAAAAGGAAGGGAGGAAGGAAGGAAAAGCTGAAGAATGATTGGAATAAAAGGAGGGAAGAATAAGCAAGGGAGGAAGAATAAGAAAAAAGATGAGGAAGGAGGAAAGAATGAACAGGGGAGAAAGAAAGCAAGGAAAAATAAGAGAAAGGAAGGAAAAATGAAAAAGAATGATTGGAAAGGAGGAAGAAGGAAAACAAAAAATGGGGAAAGAAGGAAAAGAAAAATGAACAGGGAGAATGAGGTTGAAGAAAGAAGCAAAAATGAGAGGAAGGAAGGAAAGCTAAAGAATGATTGGAAAGGAGGAAGAATAAGAAAAGATGGGGAAGAGGAAAGAATGAACAGGGAGAAGGAAGAGGCAAAAATGAGAGGAAGGAAGGAAAGCTAAAGAATGATTGGAAAGGAGGAAGAATAAGCAAGGAGGAAGAATAAGCAAAGATGAGGAAGAGGAAAGAATGAACAGGTTGAAGAAAGAAGCAAAAATGAGAGGAAGGAAGGAAAACAAAAGAATGATTGGAAAGGAGGAAGAATAAGAAAAGATGGGGAAGAGGAAAGAATGAACAGGGAGAAGGAAGAGGCAAAAATGAGAGGAAGGAAGGAAAGCTAAAGAATGATTGGAATGGAGGAAGAAAGGAGGAAGAATAAGCAAAAGATGAGGAAGAGGAAAGAATGAACAGGTTGAAGAAAAAAGAGCAAAAATGAGAGGAAGGAAGGAAAACAAAAGAATGATTGGAAAGGAGGAAGAATGAGAAAAGATGGGGAAGAGGAAAGAATGAACAGGGAGAAGGAAGAGGCAAAAATGAGAGGAAGGAAGGAAAGCTAAAGAATGATTGGAAAGGAGGAAGAATAAGCAAGGAGGAAGAATAAGAAAAGATGGGAAGAGGAAAAAGAATGAACAGGGGAGAAGGAAGAGGCAAAAAATGAGAGGAAGGAAGGAAAAGCAAAAGAATGATTGGAAAAGGAGGAAGAATAATGGGGAAAGGAGGAAGAATAAGCAAAAAAGATGAGGAAGAGGAAAGAATGATTGGAAAGGTTGAAGAAAAGAGGAAGAAAAAAATGAGAGGAAGGAAGGAAAACAAAAGAAGGATTGGAAACAAAAAGGAGAAAAGGAGGAAGAAAAGAAAATGGGGAAGAGGAAAGAATGAACAGGGAGAAGGAAGAGGCAAAAATGAGAGGAAGGAAGGAAAGCTAAAAGAATGATTGGAAAGGAGGAAGAATAAGAAAAGATGGGGAAAGGAGGAAGAAGAAGAAGAGGCAAAAAAGGAAGAAGGAAAGCTAAAGAAGATGAAAGGAGGAAGAAAAGAATGAACAGGTTGAAGAAAAAGAACAGGTTGAAAAATGAGGCAAAAGGAAGGAAGGAAGGAAAACAAAAGAATGATTGGAAAGGAGGAAGAATAAGAAAAGATGGGGAAGAGGAAAGAATGAACAGGGAGAAGGAAGAGGCAAAAATGAGAGGAAGGAAGGAAAGCTAAAGAATGATTGGAAAGGAGGAAGAATAAGCAAGGAGGAAGAATAAGCAAAAGATGAGGAAGAGGAAAGAATGAACAGGTTGAAGAAAGAAGCAAAAAATGAGAGGAAGGAAGGAAAACAAAAGAATGATTGGAAAGGAGGAAGAATAAGAAAAGATGGGGAAGAGGAAAGAAATGAACAGGCAAAATGAGAGGAAGGAGGAAAGCTAAAAAATGATTGGAAAGGAAGGAAGAAAAGCAAGGAGGAAGAATTGGAAAGATGAGGAAGAGGAAAGAAGGAGGTTTTAAGAATAGGCAAAAAAGATGAGGAAGGAAGGAAAACAAAGAATGATTGGAAAGGAGGAAGAAAGAAAAGATGGGGAAGAAAAATGAGAGGAAGGAAGGCAAAAAAAACAAAAGAATGATTAAAGAATGAGGAAAAGAAGAACTAGAAAAAGATGGGGGAAGAGGAAAGAATGAACAGGGGAGAAGGAAGAGAAAAAAATGAGAGGAAGGAAGGAAAACTAAAGAATGATTGGAAAGGAGGAAGAATAAGCAAGGAGGAAGAATAAACAAAGATGGGGAAGATGAAAGAATGAACAGGTTGAAGGAAAAGAAGCAAAAATGAGAGGAAGGAAGGAAAAAAAAGAATGATTGGAAAGGAGGAAGAACTAGAAAAAGATGGGGAAGAGGAAAGAATGAACAGGTTGAAGAAGGAAGAAGCAAAAATGAGAGGAAGGAAGGAAAACTAAAGAATGATTGGAAAGGAGGAAGAATAAGCAAGGAGGAAGAATAAAGCAATGATGGGGAAGATGAAAGAATGAACAGGTTGAAGAAAGAAGCAAAAAATGGTAGGAAGGAAGGAAAACAAAAGAATGATTGGAAAGGAGGAAGAATAAGAAAAAGGATGGGGAAGAGGGAAAGAATGAACAGGAAGAAGAAAGAAGCAACAAGAGTGGAAGGAAGGAAAAATAAAGAATGATTGGAAAACAAAAGAAGAATAAGCAAGGAGGAAGAATAAAAATGATGGGGAAGAGGAAAAAAGAATGAACAGGTTGAAGAAAGAAGCAAAAATGAGAGGAAGGAAGGAAAACAAAAAGAATGATTGGAAAAGGAGGAACAATAAGAAAAGATGGGGAAGAGGAAAGAATGAACAGGGAGAAGGAAGAGGCAAAATGAGAGGAAGGAAGGAAAACTAAAGAATGATTGGAAAAGGAGGAAGAATAAGCAAGGAGGAAGAATAAACAAAGATGAGGAAGATGAAAGAATGAACAGGTTGAAGAAAGAAGCAAAAATGAGAGGAAGGAAGGAAAACAAAAGAATGATTGGAAAGGAGGAAGAACTAGAAAAGATGGGGAAGAGGAAAGAATGAACAGGTTGAAGAAAGAAGCAACAATGAGAGGAAGGAAGGAAAACTAAAGAATGATTGGAAAGGAGGAAGAATAAGCAAGGAGGAAGAATAAACAATGATGGGGAAGATGAAAGAATGAACAGGTTGAAGAAAGAAGCAAAAATGGTAGGAAGTAAGGAAAACAAAAGAATGATTGGAAAGGAGGAAGAAGAAGCAATGATCAGGAAATGGAAAGAATGATCAGGGAGAAGGAATAGGAAGAAATAAGAGGAAGGAAGGAAAAATATAGAATGACAGGAATCGAAGAAGAATGAGCAAAGATGAATCAAAAGAAAAGAATAAACCGGGAGAAGGGAGAGGAAAAACGAGAGGAAGGAGGAAAAACCAAAGAATAATTGGAGAAACCAAAGAATAAGCAAAGAGGTACAAATGGATAAGAGGAGAGAAGGAAAGGCAATGAATGATTGAAGATGAGGAAAAGGAAAGAATAAACCGGAAGTAGAAAGAGGATGTAGGGGTAAGACGAAAAAATAAACCGGGAGAAGAAAGAGGATGAGATGAGAGAAAGGAAGGAAAAAGAAGGAATGTGTGTAAAGATGGAAAAATGAATGCACAGGTCAAGACGAAGAAGAATACCAAAGCCGATGAAGAAGAAGAAAGGGTAAATAATGAGAAAGAAAAATGAGAAGGACTGAAAGAAAAGTAAGGAGAAAAAGTATAGGGAGGATGACGAGAAAAAGTATAGTGGAAGAAGAAAAGAATAAAAAGGAGGAGAAGAAAAAGAAAAAATAGAAAAAAGGGGAAGAAATGCGGAAGAGGAGAGACGCGGCAGAATGATAAAAAGAGGAGGAAGAGGGTGTAAATAATTGTGATTCAGAACTGGAAAAAGTGAGGGGAAGGATGTAAAAGAGGAGGAGAAAGAAGAAAGAAAAAAAATAGAAAAGGAAGGGGAAGAAATGCGGAAGAGGAGAGAGTAAAATAATAGTGGCAGAATGATAGGAAAAAGAGGAGGAAGAGGGTGTAAATAATAGTGATTCAGAACTGATCAAAAAAAGTGAGGGAAGGATGTAAAAAAGAAGAGGAGGAAGAAGAAAGAATAAAGAGAGAAAGGGAAGGGGAAGAAATGCGGAAGAGGAGAGACGCGGCAGAATGATCAAAGAGGAGGAAGAGGGTGTAAATAATAGTGATTCAGAACTGGAAAAAGTGAGGGGAAGGATGTAAAAGAGGAGGAGAAAGAAGAAAGAAAAAATAGAGAAAAGGAAGGGGAAGAAATGCGGAAGAGGAGAGACGCGGCAGAATGATCAAAGAGGAGGAAGAGGGTGTAAATAATAGTGATTCAGAACTGGAAAAAGTGAGGGGAAGGATGTAAAAGAAGAGGAGGAAGAAGAAAGAATAAATAGAGAAAGGGAAGGGGAAGAAATGCGGAAGAGGAGAGACGCGGCAGAATGATCAAAGAGGAGGAAGAGGGTGTAAATAATAGTGATTCAGAACTGGAAAAAGTGAGGGGAAGGATGAAAAGAGGAGGAAGAAGAAAGAATAAATAGAGAAAGGGAAGGGGAAGAAATGCGGAAGAGGAGAGACGCGGCAGAATGATCAAAGAGGAGGAAGAGGGTGTAAATAATAGTGATTCAGAACTGGAAAAATTGAGGGGAAGGATGTAAAAGAAGATGAGGAAAAAGAAAGAATAAATAGAGAAAGGGAAGGGGAAGAAATGCGGAAGAGGAGAGACGCGGCAGAATGATCAAAGAGGAGGAAGAGGGTGTAAATAATAGTGATTCAGAACTGGAAAAAGTGAGGGGAAGGATGTAAAAGAAGAGGAGGAAGAAGAAAGAATAAATAGAGAAATGATGGTGAAGAAATGCGGAAGAGGAGAGACGCGGCAGAATGATCAAAGAGGAGGAAGAGGGTGTAAATAATAGTGATTCAGAACTGGAAAAAGTGAGGGGAAGGATGTAAAAGAAGAGGAGGAAGAAGAAAGAATAAATAGAGAAAGGGATGGGGAAGAAATGCGGAAGAGGAGAGACGCATGCAGAATGATCAAAGAGGAGGGAAGAGGGTGTAAATAATAGTGATTCAGAAGTGGAAAAAGTGAGGGGAAGGATGTAAAAGAAGAGGAGGAAGAAGAAAGAATAAATAGAGAAAAGGATGGTGAAGAAATGCGGAAGAGGAGAGACGAAGCAGAATGATCAAAGAGGAGGAAGAGGGTGTAAATAATAATGATTCAGACCTGCAAAAAGTGAAGGGAAGGATGTAAAGAAAGAGGAGGAAGAAGAAAGAATAAATAGAGAAAAGTATGGTGAAGAAATGCGGAAGAGGAGAGACTCGGCAGAATGATCAAAGTGGAGGAAGTGGGTGTAAATAATTATGATTCAGAACTGGAAAAAATGAGGGGAAGGATGTAAAAGAAGAGGAGGAAGAAGAAAGAATAATTAGAGAAAAGAATGGTGAAGAAATGCGGAAGAGGAGAGACGCGGCAGAATGATCAAATAGGAGGAAGAGGGTGTAAATAATTATGATTCAGAACTGTAAAAAGTGAGGGAAGGATGTAAAAAGGAAGAGGAGGAAGAAGAAAGAATAAATAGAAAAAGGATGGTGAAGAAATGCGGAAGAGGAGAGACGCGGCAGAATGATCAAAGAGGAGGAAGTGGGGTGTAAATAATAATGATTCAGAACTGGAAAAAGTGAGGGAAGGATGTAAAAGAGGAGGAGGAAGAAGAAAGAATAAGAAAAAAAGGGGAAGAAATGCGGAAGAGGAGAGACGCGGCAGAATGATCAAATATGAGGAAGGGGTTGTAAATAATTATGATTCAGAACTATAAAAAGTGAGGGGTAGGATGTAAAAGAAGAGGAGGGAGAAGAAAGAATAAATAGAGAAAAGGATGGTGAAGAAATGCGGAAGAGGAGAGACGCGGCAGAATGATCAAAAGTGGAGGAAAGGGGTGTAAATAATTATGATTCAGAACTGCAAAAAAATGAGGGGAAGGATTTAAAAGAAGAGGAGGAAAAAGAAAAGAATAAATAGAAAAGGATGGTGAAGAAATGCGGAAGAGGAGAGACGCGGCAGAATGATCAAATAGGAGGAAGGGGTGTAAAAATAATGATTCAGAACTATAAAAAAGAGGGGAAGGATGTAAAAGAAGAGGAGGAAGAAGAAAAGAATAAATAGAGAAAAGGATGGTGAAGAAATGCGGAAGAGGAGAGACGCGGCAGAATGATCAAAGAGGAGGAAGTGGGTGTAAATAATTATGATTCAGAACTGCAAAAATGAGGGGAAGGATGTAAAGGAAGAGGAGGAAGAAGAAAGAATAAATAGAGAAAAGGATGGTGAAGAAATGCGGAAGAGGAGAGACGCGGCAGAATGATCAAAGAGGAGGAAGAGGGTGTAAATAATTATGATTCAGAACTATAAAAACAGAGGGGAAGGATGTAAAGGAAGAGGAGGAAGATGAAAGAATAAATAGAGAAAAGGATGGTGAAGAAATGCGGAAGAGGCGAGACGCGGCAGAATGATCAAATAGGAGGAAGGGGGTGTAAATAATAATGATTCAGAACTGGAAAAAGTGAGGGGAAGGATGTAAAAGAAGAGGAGGAAGAAGAAAGAATAAATAGAGAAAAGGATGGTGAAGAAATGCGGAAGAGGAGAGACGAAGCAGAATGATCAAAGTGGAGGAAGAGGGTGTAAAAAATAGTGATTCAGAACTGCAAAAAGTGAGGGGAAGGATGTAAAAGAAGTGGAGGAAGAAGAAAGAATAAATAGAGAAAAGGATGGTGAAGAAATGCAGAAAAGGAGAGACGCTGCAGAATGATCAAAGAGGAGGAAGAAGGTGTAAATAATAGTGATTCAGACGTTGGAAAAAGTCAGGGGAATCATGTAAAAGAAGAGGAGGAAGAAGAAAGAATAATTAGAGAAAAGGATGGTGAAGAAATGCAGAAGAGGAGAGACGCGGCAGAATGATCAAAGAGGAGGAAGAGGGTGTAAATAATAGTGATTCAGAAGTGGAAAAAGTGAGGGGAAGGATGTAAAAGAAGATGAGGAAAAAGAAAGAATAAATAGAGAAAAGGATGTTGAAGAAATGCGGAAGAGGAGAGACGCTGCAGAATGATCAAAGAGGAGGAAGAGGGTGTAAATAATAATGATTCAGAAATGAAAAAGTGAGGGGAAGGATGTAAAAGAAGAGGAGGAAAAAGAAAGAATAAATAAAAGAAAAGGATGTTGAAGAAATGCGGAGAGGAGAGACGCTGCAGAATGATCAAGAGGAGGAAGAGGGTGTAAATAATAATGATTCAGAACTGAAAAAAAGTGAGGGAAGGATGTAAAAGAAGAGGAGGAAGAAGAAATAATAAATAGAAAAGGATGGGAAGAAATGCGGAAGAGGAGAGACGCTGCAGAATGATCAAAAGAGGAGGAAGAGGGTGTAAATAATAATGATTCAGAACTGGAAAAAGTGAGGGAAGGATGTAAAAAAGAGGAGGAAGAAGAAAGAATAAATAGAAAGGATGGTGAAGAAATGCAGAAGAGAGACGCGACAAGAATGATCAAAAGAGGTGGAAGAGGTGTAAATAATAGTGATTCAGAACTGGAAAAAGTGAGGGAAGGATGTAAAAAGAAGAGGAGGAAAAAAGAAAGAATAAATAGAAAAGGATGTTGAAGAAATGCGGAAGAGGAGAGACGCTGCAGAATGATCAAAGAGGAGGAAGAGGGTGTAAATAATAATGATTCAGAAATGAAAAAGTGAGGGGAAGGATGTAAAAGAAGAGGAGGAAGAAGAAAGAATAAATAGAGAAAAGGATGGTGAAGAAATGCAGAAGAGGAGAGACGCGACAGAATGATCCAAGAGGAGGAAGAGGGTGTAAATAATAGTGATTCAGAAGTGGAAAAAGTGAGGGGAAGGATGTAAAAGAAGATGAGGAATAAGAAAGAAAAAATAGAGAAAAGTAAGGGGAAGAAATGCGGAAGAGGAGAGACGCGGCAGAATGATCAAAGAGGAGGAAGAGGGTGTAAATAATAGTGATTCAGAACTGGAAAAAGTGAGGGGAAGGATGTAAAAGAAGAGGAGGAAGAAGAAAGAATAAATAGAGAAAAGGATGGTGAAGAAATGCGGAAGAGGAGAGACGCTGCAGAAGGATCAAAGTGGTGGAAGAGGGTGCAATTACTAGTGATTCAGAACTGGAAAAAAGTTAGTAAAAGAAGAGGGGGGAAAGAAAGAATAAATAGAGAAAGGGAAAAGGAGAAAGACTCAGAATGATCAAACAGTGGAAGAAAGAAATAATAAAAGAAATTAAAATGCGGAAGGACAATAGGAGAAAGGAAGGGGAAGAAATTCGAAGAGGAGAGACGCTGCAGAATGATCAAAGAGGAGGGAACAGGGGTAAATAATGGACATGGAAAAAAAGGGGAAGATGTAAAAGAACATAAAGGAACGCTGTATGAAAAGGACGCTTTTTCCCTTGACACCGCTATTATTTTAACTATCTCCACTCCTTGGCAATGTTTATTGTTTCTCCTCAGGACACAGACGATGATGACTCTCCAGAATTTCCTGTCGTTTGTAGCTCTTTAAAAAAACTTTTTCTTTCTTTTATTTCTCCTAAACTCTGTTCCGCCATCCATTTACTCAAGCTCACTAAATATAATTTATACGTCGTTTTCCTTCTGACGTGTGATTTTCCAAGCCCTTCTTTCTCATTATATTCCCCAGAAACCTCAACTGATTCTTCCTGTTTCCATTTTCCCTAAAACTTCGTCTTTGCTCCTGTGTTCGTTTCACGCCATCCTTATTATCCTTCTGTAGAAGCCCATTTATGGTGCTTCAAGTATCTTCTTCATCGTTGAGGAAATTGTCTAGCACTCATTGCAATGAAGAAGCACAGATATCACGTAGCAGTTCAGCACTCTTTTCCTTGTTGCTAGCGATGTTTTTTCATATTTCTTAATACTCTGCTTAGCTTTTGGAATGCATCTTCGGCTATCACAATACGCCTCCAGATTTCATTTTCTCACACTTTCCGTTTCTATGTTAAAACATTTCTCAGATATTTAAATTTCCGAACTTGTTTGATTTTTGTATCTCCGATTTGTAATTTGCACTTTGGGCAAATCCTTTTGCTAACAACCATGCATTCTGTTTTCTTGCATTTGATGTGTAATCCTTTCTTATCACTTTCTTTCATTAAATGTTCTTTTCTTTTAAAGAGAGAGAGAGAGAGAGAGAGAGAGAGAGTTGTGAGTAAAACGAATGTATACAGAGAGTAAAAAAAAATAGAGACGAGAAAATCATTCGCGATTTCCGTGATGAACTTTCAGTCAAGCGCATCTTTTTCGAGTTCCACCAGTTCAAAATTTTACAGCTCTGACCCGACAAGACGACGGATACAAACTCGAATCATCAAATTATATAAAGGATCTTCGATTCAGACAACTTTTTCTGGAAATGCTGCCACTTTGTGGAATATACTCCCAAGAGGATGCTTCCCTGACCATTACAATCTTAACCTGTTCAAGTCAACTTATACCTATCCTAAATATACTCTTTATCTCCAATTATGCCCATAAAACAACCCCATTCAGTAATCACCTTCAGTGATTCACGCTTTGTAGTTTGTGTAAGAAATAGATTATTATTATCTAATAATAATATTCGTTAGTCCGGCTTACGTAACTGTTAATATTACTACTATTAATATTCGTCAGTTCAGCTAATGTAATATTAATATTCGTTAATCCGGTTTATTATTAACTAATATCAATATTCGTCAGTTCAGCTAGCGTAATAGCAACATTCGTTAATCCGGTTTATTATTAATATAAATATTCGTTAGTTCAACTTATATAATAGTAATATCCTTTTGCTAACAAAAATGCATTCTATCTTCTTGCAGTTGATATTTAATCCTTTCTTATCACTTTTCCTCATTATCTTCTGTAGGAGTTTTTGTTGCCTTTTGTGTCTGCTATCAAAACTGTGTTATCTGCTTATCTTATATTGTTGAGACTGTGACCTTCAGTAATGAATCCTGGTAGGACTTCTAGTTCTCTCAGAATTTCCTCACTATATAGGTTGAATAAGTCCGGTGAGAAGACACATCCTTGTCTTACACCCCTTTCTTTTTTTAGTAAATCTGCTGAACTCATCTTCTATCCGTATACAGGCAGTTTGCTGTCAATATAAGTTCTGGATTATTCTAATATCCTTCCTAAATACATCAAGATCCTCTCTATGCATATTGTTCTTTTTGATAACATTCTGAGCATAGATATCACGTTAGTTGTTCCAGGGTCTTTAAAGAGTTTGTATTGTATTAAAACCGAAACCTATTAAAGTGAATTTATACATTTTTCCTTCTTGAGAATTTAAACTAAAATATTAAACACTTAAATTGTCCTAAACAAAATATTAAAAGATATGAAAATTTTATATGAAAGAAAAGCTTAGTGACCAACTCAGTCAAATCTATCCTCCGAGAAAACAGAGAATGCGGGAAAATCTTTTTCAAAGATGAAGGAAGATTCGAATCCTCGAGCGGCCTTCGACATAGAACACGTGGAAGGCCACCATAATGGATGTGATGGTCGCATCGTAAACATAATGGCCAGCATGAACGTGGACCGTCTGATCCAGGTATGCAGTCGCTTCCGAGCCCTCAACAAATGACATGATGAGCAGCAAGAACGAAGACGATAAGATCCGGGTTTTCAGATGCATCTGAGCATTTGATGAGGATCTCGTGGATATGATGGTCAACGTGCGCGAGAACCAACTGATCCTTGCATGCACTTGTTTCCGCAACCGAATCCTGGACTTGATAGCCAATATGCACAACTACTTCCTGGTCAGTGTGTGCAGTTGCTTTCGAGGCCGCATCGTGGGCGTGATAGCCAACATGCAAGAGCATGTCCTGGTAAATGAATGCAGTCGCTTCCGAGCCCGCATCATAGACATGCAGTCACTTACGAGGTCACAACAGGAACATGATGAGCAGTAAGAATGAGGAGCACCCGATCCAGGTTTTCAGTTGTTTCTGAGGCTGCATCGTGCACATGATCAGTGCATGCAGTTCGTTCCGCTGTCGAATTGTGGACTTGATAGCCAAAATGCATGACTATCTTCCGAGGCCGCATCATAAACTTTATGCCCTTTGAGAAGGAGGACTAGCAGATCCCGGTATGCAGTCGCTTCCTAGGATGCAACATCACCTGGTCTGATTATATGCATAAAGATATCTGATAAACTAATATTTACTCAGACTCCATAGACTCTTAGTTTTTTGTTTTCTTATATTCTCCTACACTCAGTAACCCTTTGCGTCTTAGTTTCTTTATTGCCTTGTGTGCGGCAATAGAATTAATATATACATTTGATCTTCAAAAATTTAAATCCAATGTAAATCGTCATCTGTCTCCTTAATACATGTTCTTTTATTGTCCTATCTCCGTAATAAGGATTTTTCTTGAATTTTGTTACACTCAGTAAATCCTTGTATCTTAGTGGCTTTATCGCCTTGCTTAAGGTGAAACGATTAAAACAATATGTAATATATTCTACATATCTTCTTAATTTGCTTTTCTGATCGTCTCTTACTTCATTATAAGCTCATTCAATAATTCTCTACCTTGAGTGGCTCTTGGGTTTTGCATTGAGTGAAAAATAGGAAAGTGGATTTTTTTTTTCACATTTTGCAGCAGCAACAGTAATAGAAAAGAATAAAACACATTATCATCCTAATATTTCGATTGCCTTTTCTCTGAACTTTTAACTGTATTGATCTTAATTTTAACTTTTTTTTATCCTTGAACCTAACACTTAGTTAATATTCTTCGATCACTCTACATTCTTCTCTGGTGTTTTCCGTTTTGATCGTCATAGAAAAATTAATTTTGAGGAAATAATAGCCGGCGTAAAAACAGATTCGGCAGAAAAACGGAAAACGAAAGAAAATGTGGTTATTATTGCGTTTGAATTTAAATAAAAATAAGCGAAAAGGTTTCACTGTTTCGGCTATGAGAAAATAAATTCTTCGATAAGAATCGTCGGAATGAAACCACCTAATCCTGTGCATATTGCTATTGAGAATAGTTAATTATTAATTAACTACTAAATAGCCAGTCAGTTAAGTGCTATACGAGATAAACGATTGGGTGTTCATGTCTCGTTCTTTATAGGAAATTATGATCATGTCTTTCATTATAACAAAATATGTACTTCGGACAGTTTATCAACAACCTCGAGCCGATTACTCAACACATTCAAATATTGGAAAATATAATAAACGTTAAACATACAGACCTTGTCTCGGTTTTTTTCAATCAAAATTATTTGCATATATATATATATATATATATATATATTTCTGAAAATATCTGTATTTGCATAGTTTAATACTGATTTCTACGTCTTCAATTCATCTTATCAAAAACCTGAAAAAATGTCAAGATTCGCCCTCTCAACCAATAAGAGATCTCTTTCCAGCCTTAACAACGTCAAATGACCTGCAAATGTTTCACCTAACCGCTGGCAATTTAAATGTTTATCATTCATTATTTTCATTAAATTTCACAGGTTATCTGCCTTTATTTATCCCCGCCCGTCCGTTGCCCCTACTCTTCTTGTTTATGACGACATAAAAAGAATAGAGAAAATCCGGAGAAGTAACTACTTGAATTATTAAGATTCTGTATATTTCTCTTTATCTCCTGTTAATTCAATTTATCCTGCCTTTTGTAACTTTCGAATCAGTGCTTTGCTATCAGACAGAATACCCGCTGCTATATGTCAGAATATTATCTCTGACAAAAAAAAAAAAAAAAAATACCCGCAAACAACTCATTCGTCAGACAAAATGTGCTTCTTTTCATCACTGTTTCTCTTTTGTCGGATCATAGAAAGTTGATAATTCGTTGGAACTTGTCCTTTTTCCGTCTCAGATAACAAGCCTTGTAAATTTATATGATGTCAGGATTATCCCAAATATTATCTGATGTATCCTCTTTCCTTCTACCTTTTCTTATTCTTCCTTTTCTGCATCGGGCCTAAATGACAGAAATCCTTTAAAAATAATTAAAACTTCAATGAATAATCTGCAGTCTTTGTTGTTCCTCTTCTCGGCTTTCAGGCTCATGTCGCCCTTCGTTATTGTCGTTATTTTTCTTTTTATTGTTAACACATACAATTCTTTGCTTTGTCGTGTTCATCACAGCTATCAAGACAAGCAACAACCGCATCCAGATACATCCTCATCAGAGAACGTTCAAAAGGGCCTTTATCCTTGCAAATCTGCCCAAGGGTTTCAATGATCATTTTTTATTGGGACTCATATCGCCAACTTGTCCGTTTTCTTCTTGCTCTTCTTTGCGTATACGCTATCTTAGAATACATACAATAATGCTAAAGTAGACTTTGTAAATAGAGACAACGGT